CCTCCGTGAAAACTTGTGTTGTGCAGTTGTCTGTTGCGCGCGTAATGCAAATGAACTACTGAAAATACGTACTTCTGCGTGTACATTAAGACCAATAGCGTGTTCCCTGTCGTCACGGTGTAGCTTACTGTGTAACTCATTTTTTACATGAAATAACCGATCATACGTCGATATTGGGTTGGACTGCGGAGAGAGAAAAAGAACACAATGACACTACGCTAAAATGCTAATACTACCTTTTGTAAAAAAGCAAAAAAAACAAAACAAGAATATTTGCAACTTTGTAAAAAAATATTTCAGTAAAATGTGTTCTTCTAGAATACTGCTGTCGCCTATAACATTATGATTTCATTATCTTCTCTATTTCATTAGACATTATAGATCACGATGTAGCTGCTATTTTACGATCTCGGGATCGTGTTTTGCAAATCGCGATCAATATCATAACGCGAGAGTCACTAAAGATGCACATTTTGAAGAGTTGTTGTACATATGCTGACGAATTCATTCATTCTTAGGAAAGTTGTACGTCAAATGTTCTTATAACATATCCGATAATACATAATCACGGTTGATTTACGTGTTGCTTACAGGCTTGTTATTGTTGAAGTAGGTAAAATCGCTTTTTAGTTCCTCTTCAGTTGGTTCCTGGTCTTTAATACCCGGCCACTGTTCCGACCCATCGCCGTTTATTGCTAGATGACCCTGGCGTATCCGGGACTCGCGCTAAAATAGAAAAAAGAACGAACAGATTAAACCAATTAAACGTTGAAAATATCAAAGAGGAATAACGCAAAAAAAAAAATGTTCGCTATGTTTAGTACATGTATTGCAATATTAAATATCACAGACGGAGACTTACCCCGACTATTTCACGCCACAATAGGTGTATTTCTTCTGGCGATGGATTCTTTAAACCATAATTTGACATATTGCTCCCTGCTCCAGGATAGTCACCCATTTTTACTCACCGGGTTAGTTAAACAGAGTGAGTGAAAATGAGCAAAATGTATGGATAACGGAGAAGACGGGCCGCCGGAAAAGTTGATTGTGAAAACTGTTGGGTATGACAGCGCCACCGTGGTGTTCCAAACTTCTAAGTCACATTCGTGTGTTCTACAAGCTTTTTTAAACTCAAAACTATTCAAATTTTATTGTTAAATCCAAAAGAAATATAGATATTGTAAAACAGGAATCGTAACACTTCATCAAAATGAGGTCCGACAATTAAAAAAACAAAACACACGACAAATTTGCACTTTGCTAAAACATGGCTAAAAGAACCTGGGATATCAAATTACCCAGAGTACTTTGCGATAACACATGTTCCAAAATGGCGGACGAAGAGAAACTCAGTAAGAAGTAAGTCAATTCTTTACTGTTTTCGTAGCGTTACTGTGCGATCGGAATATTGTATCTGATGGGTTGAGGTCTAGTTATGTAACCAGTGCTCGGTGGACGCTCGCCATAACTGCCTTTTAATGAGAATGCACACCCCGGTTAAAACCGTACACATCGCGACGGATCCAGCTGTCAGTGTCGTGGTGCAATGTATAGTTCCTGGTCTGTTACAACACAATTTCATCATCAAAAGAAAGACCTTTGGTTTTTATAGTGATTTGGTTCAATCAACATTAATTATCAGCCAGTGACTCCTCTTTTTATGCAATTAAAATCTTTTAACTAACCACTGAACCACTGAATTTCAGGGTTTATCCACTTCTTCTGATACGATGCTGTCACCATTTTAATTTTTGGTTAATTCACTGTCCTTCAACACAGTTAAGGGACGGTGGTTAATTAAAGAGCTAAATTGTCAACCACACCTAATACTTGAATTCTTAAAATATCAGATAATCGTGACATATTTAAATTGCTCAATAATTAGTCATATGAAAGTAATTATTCATAAAGATTGATTAATTAATTGATTGATTAATTTGAGGTAATGAAAGTCAAAATAAAAACATAGTTGGTTTTCATAGTGATTTCAGCAACATTTAATATGATAGTATTAAGATAAAAACTTTTTATGCAAAATCTTGTAATAAACCACATGTCTTGTATGTGATTCTTTCGACAGACTTTTATAAAAAACAGTTTCCAACTTATGCCATGCTTGCTGCATCGTCCACTTGTAGGACGTTAATTAATACTACGAGAAGTTCTCGTGTATTTGGTGCAATATTGGCCCAATGCAGAGCCAGTTTCCAGTGTTCAGTTTTCCATCTATCAGATAACAAGTGTCAAAGGTCAGTGATTATTTAGAATCTCTGTACCTGTAAAATTTAAAATCTAAACTAATTATTTCTCTTAATAATTTGACAAAGCCCGAGAAACTGTACCAGATGTTGGCGTTTATATTGTGTGGATATTAGAACTCCATCCATAACATGTTGCAGAGTCAATCAACAAGTCTGACAGAAGTAGGTCAATTTTGGTCAGAACCCCACAGTCTTCCAAACAAATGAAGCTGAAAGTTTAAATATTTGGCAAACTTGAGGCTCATTATAATATTCACTGCTAGAAAATGTTTGTGATTTGATGGATTAATAATGTTTGACAATATTTTGTCTGCATGACCTTGGACAAATTTGTGCCATGGACTCATTAATTACGATAGTTGATGGGAAAAAGTGGAGACATCAGGCACTGTGTTAAGCCAATACATTATTAGCTTCTTTTGTGCATTAAGGACATTATTCAGAGGGGTGTTCATATTTTGCAAAGTGAATTTTAACTTGGGCGAGTGAACATTTTGTTTCATGTACAGTTAGCTTCTCTGAAAAACCATATGCTGGCTCACTAAATATTATTTTCTTAGTTGTCTACTTTGG